AAAATATTTTGAATTTGTGCTGGTAAAATAATATAATAGGACAGTTATCACAGTAAGACTATTTCTGCTGCCAAATATGGTGACTCTAGTTTTGTTAAGACTATGAGTATCCATCAGTTTTTAAGGATGCAGCCAAAGTTCAAAGATTCACCATTTTTGAGGAGCGGGAGGGAAGGGAAAGAGATTGTTAATATGTAATTTAGTTCCAAGAAAAGTCTCTTGTTAAGTATGGTGCTTTACATTTCCTGTAAAAGACCCCAGATGTTAATGAAGAAAGTTAACGTGCAAAAATGCATAAAAGACAGTTATTAGAGAATATTAATGTTCTTTAAAAAATTAAGTTATGATTCTTTTACCTGCTAAAACAAGAACATATATTAAAACAAATATATCAAATAGTGAATAAAAAAAAAACAACATATTAGAAACTGGTAGTATAAAGAAACTAGTCTAAAACCAAGACAGACAGGGAGAAACATTTAAGAGTCAATGGGAAGAAATGACCTTTTAAAATGAAGGGCATATTAAACTAGAGTAAAGCAAAATAATAAAAGGCCTGACACAATATTTATAAATCTGATTGATAAATGTCAATACTCCTCACCCTGTGACCATAAAAGCCACAAAAATGGGCAACAACCATTTCTTTCATTTATCCTGTATAACCTAAGTTCTATAGTAATTAATTAGTGAAATTACATCACAAAGTAAATGAGTTGAAAATAACTAACTTTATGCATAGAAAGTATAATATATTTTAGACATATATATTTTCTGAGAAGCATATTTAAAAACTATTTTGTTTAATGATGGAATTTTTTTCATTTAAGAATATCAAATACACAGATGCCTTCCCACTGAAGCTGAAATAATTCAAAATTGTAAGGGACTACTTTGGGGAAAAACCCACACATATAACTACAGTTGCAAATTATCTTCTCCTTCAATTCTCCCCAAGTTAAAAAAAATTAAAAATGTTAAGTTTTTAGTTTAAAGATCAATCACATGATAGGTTTGTTTGTTTTGCTACATATAAGTGTTATATGTGAGCTATATAATTCTTTAAATTCTAAAACTTTGATATTCAAATTAATTCCAAAGACATTTTATTTCCATTTATTTGAAATTAAGAGGAACCTTTATGATTTATTTTTTTAAAAAGTGAGCAAAAAAACTCTAGAGACTATAGCATTCAGCACAATATAAGCATCTGGCAAAGCAGGTTGTAGGTTCCCAGTGGATGTTTGTTAGAAGAATGTGTGTTCCTGGGAGAAAAGGGCACCTAGATACTGCTAGGTAGTAAACAAAAATCATAAATATATGTGCACTAGTATGATCTGAGAAGAACATATTGAAGGTCTCTGATCTTCTGCAAGATTCTTAGTATAGTACTAGAAAGAGTACTCATAGGAAGGGGAAGTTTCATTGAGCATAATAAACAGGAGGTATACCTCAGTTTTCCAAAAATTTCAATCTCCTTTTAAAAAATAACATGTTTGCCAATTCAGAACTATATATAATTGCTTCAGATCTCCTGGATAGGGTTTGCTTAGCAATTTGGGTTTTTTTTTTTTTTTCTGGATATTGAGTATTGAATTCAGGGGCACCCAACCACTGAGCCACATTCCCAGCCCTAGTTTGTATTTTTATTTAGAGACAGAGTCTCACTGAGTTGCTTAGTGCCTCACTGTTGCTGAGGCTGGCTTTAAATTTTTGATCTTCCTGACTCAGCCTCCTGAACCACTGATTACAGGTGTGTGCTACCCTGCTCGGCACCTAGCAATTTTAAAAATAAACTTTAATTTTATTTTATGTTTTTTTTTTGCAGTGTTGGGGATGGAAAACCCAGGGCCTTGAGCATGCTAGGCAAGCACCCTACCATAAGTTTCATCCCCAGCCCTAAAATAACTTTTTGATGAAAAGTTCAGAAGTGGTCAATTTTCCCTTGAAGTTCAAAAGTTTAAGTACGCCATCATCAATATATATAAAACTTCCTTTCAGTCAGGAAAGACCACAGGGAAATAAGGATTTAGAGATATGCAAAATGATATTTTAACTTTAAACTTTAAAATATTAAACATAAAATGAGATTATAATAATTACTATAAGATTCAATTTTACCATATATTGAGGATTGGATTGTTTTATGTATATTCATTCTAGAAATATTTTTTGAATAGCTACTATGTGTCAGAAATTGTTCTAGACATATGTATAATTCTTAAAATGGCAATTTAGTTCCCATTTCTGGTGACTATAAACTCATTAAATTGAATCTAAATAAACCAATGCCTCAAATAAACATGCATGCAGTTGATAATCTTCTTGGTTTAAAAAAATAAAAAGGTAACAAAAAAATCCACTCAACTAAAAAAATAGTTTTAGTCTGGTGCAATGGCACAAGCCTGTGATCCCACAAACCTGTAATCCCACAAACCTGTAATCCCACCCAGCAATTTGAGAGGGTAAAGTAGGAGGATCTGCAAGTTTGAGGCCTGTCCAGGTTACTCAGTGAGACCCTGTCTCAAAAAAWAAAATAAAAAGGGCTGGGAATGTATTTCAGTGGTACAGTGCCCCCAGGTTCAGTCCTCAACACTTAAAAAAAAAAAAAAAAAGTTTAAAACTGGATGGTTAAATACTGGCTATCTCTGGAATTAACAAATTTTTTACTTATGCATTTTTAGGTTCATTTGTATTTTGTATAATAAACATATATTGCCTATATGTACAGAGATGATTCTAATTAAAAGAAGTTAAAACAAAAACTAGACAGTGATTGGAGTATAGCTTAGTGGTAGATCCCTCGCTTGGCATGTGCAAGGCCCTGGGTTTGATCCCAAATACCACAAAAATGAAAAAGAACACCCCAAAGCACCCATAAAACTAGACAGCTGGGGCTGGAGATGTGGCTCAGCGGTGGTGCGCTCGCCTGGCATGCGTGCGGCCCGGGTTCGATCCTCAGCACCACATACCAACAAAGATGTTGTGTCTGCCGAGAACTAAAAAATAAATATTAAAAATTCTCTCTCTCTATCTCTCTCTCTCTCCTCTCTCACTCTCTCTTAAAAAAAAAAAAAAAAAAAACTAGACAGCTAAGAGGACTGACTGCTCATTAACAACTTAATATCTTCTGGACAAACTTAAATCATCTTTAGTGTTTTATTAGATAATGAACATGAAGTCATAATCTGAATTAAAAGATTTTCTAAAGGCTCATTTCACAGTGGCTTTTTAACCCTAAGTTATGTAAGTTATAAGATTTTTTTTTTTTAAAGAATTTTTAATATTTATTTTTTATATTTATTTTCTAGTTCTCGGAGGACACAACATCTTTGTTGGTATGTGGTGCTGAGGATCGAACCTGGGCCGCACGCATGCCAGACGGGCGCGCTACCGCCTGAGCCACATCCCCAGCCCCCAAGTTATAAGATTTTAATACCTATTTGTTGTTTGATTCAGGTCTACTTGGTTTATTGGTTTACTGTTTTTAGTCATTAGTAATACAATGTTACATTATTTAAGAAATGTAAGTATTTGTATTATTTTTTAAAATGTTCTTACCTAAACTCATCAACTAAGAATTATTTTGTAAACAAGAAAATTGAATTTTCATTTCTCTTTTATATAGGTTTTGGTGAAAATGGAAAATTAAATTGTCTGAATCTATATTTAATTGGGGAATATATTCAAATCACACAGCAAATCTATAGTTTCACGTATCATAACACATAAATCCTTTTAACATTAATGATGAATTAGAGAGGATAAATTAGGAACGGCTTCAATCATTTAAGAATGTAAATGACCAGAATCTGAGGTAAAGATATGTACATTTGTGGAGAGATATATATGTATACTTGTGTCTACAGAGTTATTATTGTTTAGTTCTTTGTATAGTAACTACAATAAAATATTTTTTTCCTTTTTTCCTTTTACAACAAATTCATACATTTATTCCAAAATAAAATCTACCTCTGAGATGTTTTTTAATTTTATATATTTCTATATCTTTCATAGAGAAATTATAGATAAAGAGGAAATATAGATTATATCAACAAGCAGGGAAGTTTCAGTTATTAAGCAAATTGAGAAAAAAAAAAAAGCAGTCATTAGCAGCCAAACTTGTGACAGCGTACCATATCAGCAAACCCAAAGCAACATGTATTTAATGCTGTTTGGGGAAAAAGGCATGCAGAAGTAACACTTAAAAGCTTTCACATCAAGTGGGAAAAGGCCACATATTGGAAAGAAGGAAGGGTGTGAAGAGGGCTTTCAGAATCTATGGAATGTTCCTTAAACGTATCAAAAATATGAACAATTTAATCTGAACCTTTATGAACCATGAACCAATTCTCTCCTTTTACTAAATCCGCAAGCATGTGCCTGGGATGTATTCTATAGCATTAATAGGCAAAGGAAACATTTATCCTGGAAAGGGGTGTCTCCATTCCAAGTGTGCTAAAGTTTATGCAAAAGGCAGTAGAAAAGATTTTGTTAGAGGAATGTAGATAAGAAAGCTGGGAAGTACGACTGAGGACAAGAAGAAGAAATCCCAGAAGTAAACCTTGTGAGGCATCAACACAGATATTTCTATTTTCTACTTTCTGTTGGAAAGCTGTTTGTCATAGTAGATTTAAAATAAATATATTTCCCAATTATCACAGGTTGAGATGTTAACTTTAACCATTTTTATTCTGCTTTTAGAGTATTATTCTTCTATCAGATTTTACATCACTTGTTTCATATGGATTATAATAAAACAAAAGTACATTTGGGGTGAAGTTTGGCCTAAATTGAAGAGGTTGGTCTTTATAATTTATACCTTTGGAGGGACAGCATGAGATGTTCTCTTTTAGTATGCCCACATCTTTTGCATTAAAAGAAACATTGTTCTTACTGGATATTGAGTCACTAACATCTACTGAGCACAATATTGTAAGAAAATATTGACATATAGATCAAAATATATAGATCAATACTAGCAACCATCAAATACATACAGCTTTCAATCTTTTTACAGCATCTTCACAAATGTGCATTCCTCTTGACTCATCAACTTCTACATGGCCAAGGTACTGTAAAAAGAAGAAAAAATGTTCACATTATTGCTATGTTTTTGAGTAGCTTCTATATGGTAGGGATTAGGTAGTAGAAACAAGGGAAATTCCCTCACTTAAGAAACTCACAGTCATTGTAGAAAAGTTAAGATATTCTTATTTTAATTACCAATAGTGTCTTCATATGAAGAATTTAGAATGATTATTTCAAAGAGTTGTTATAGGAGAGTAAGTGAAAAAGCATATGGTAGAGCTGGGGTAGAGCTCAGTGGGGTAGCTCAGTGGTAGAATTCTTGCCTAGTACATGTGAGGCACTGGGTTCAATCCTCAGCACCACATATAAATAAATAAAAATAAAGGTATGTCAACAACTAGAAAATAATAAAAAAATTATTTAAAAAATAAAGAAAGGTATTGTGTCCATCTACAACTAAAAAAACAGTATATGACAGGCATCAAATGTTACCTGAATCCATTGATCCTAAAGCATAATAGCTAGTGTGAGATAGTTATATCTTTATACATAAAAATTATTCCAAGACAAAGATATATATATATATATATATATATATATATATATATATATATATATATATATGAAAAAATACAAACAAACCAACAATATTTCAAAGGACAAAGAGATCACACAACTTCTGTTATGGAAAATGCATAAAAGCAAGGAGGATAATTCAAGTTTTAAGAAGGTGGTATACCGGGGCTGGGATCGTGGCTCAGTGGTAGACTGCTTGCCTGGCATGTGTGAGGCCCTGGGTTCAAATCAGCACCGCGTATAAACAAAATAAAGGCCCATCAACAACTAAAAAATATTTTTTTTAAAAAAAGAAGGTGGTATACCTAAGCTTAAAAGACATGTAAAATTTGATAAGGAAGAAACTGGAAGGCTGAGAAACTATTATAGAATGAAAAGAAATACATAAACAAAATTACACATATGTAATAGGCCATTATATATCAGCAAGTATTCCTATTGGCTGGAATATGAGATACATTTAGTTGGGGAATTTAAGTCCTAAAATATGGAGTCTACACTTAAGCCTAGAAGCAATAGAGAGCAAACTTAAAAAAAAAAAAAATTGGGGGGTAGTATTGGGGATCAAACCCAGGGCCTCGTGCATGCTAGGAAAGTACTTTACTACTGAGTTATATCTGTAGCCCTTTTTATTTATTTTATGTTGAGTCAGGGTTTTGCTCAGTTGCACAGACTGGTCTCAAACTTGTGAACTCCTCCTCCAGCCTCCCAAGTAGCTGGGATTGCAGGCATGCACCACTGTACCCAGCATGATTTTTTTTTTTAATGTAAAGTAGTAATGATTCAGATTATATCTTATTATGGGACTGGTCCTTGGTTAGAAAAGCAGAAGGGATAGTGGCAATATTACAAGTGCTCCCTTTTAAAAGGAAATTCAGGGTTTGGTTCCAGGTCCCTCACATTGGATGAAACCATAAAATCTGGACAGAATACATGGAGCAGCTATTTGAAATTTCTGAAAAGTAAATAATAGCAGATAAATCACAAAATGCCAGAATCCAAGATACTGTTGAACTGGTAAAGCATTTACTTCCCCTTTTGCCTTTGGCACCTCCAGCCTAAACTTAACACAGATATGAATGACAGGGTACAAAAAGAACTCTGAGAAAAGTACTCCAGTTCTGGCTTGAGGACCATGAATGGCAACTCCTATGTTCAGAGAGAGTAAAGGGGTCCCAGGATGTCCAGTGGTGATGGTGGTGGTAGTGTAGCAACAGGAAAACAATGAAAATCTTCAAGGGCCACACCTTCCTTTCTGTTTAGTGGAACTGTATATGATTATAGGAAGATGAGGACAACGCCTTTTTATACACCCCCCCAACTCTTTCTCACTATGAATCTCTCTCAATTTGATCCTAGATTGAAGTGAAATTATGAGAACATGGGATAAAGCAGAATAATCAGAGAACCAAAGTATCAGGTTCTTGGATACATTCAAGGAACAAGAAAATATTGAGGAGAGTACAGGGAGGACAAAGCTTGGAAAACTGATCCCAATTTGTTTATGAATTCCTGGATTTATCCTGGAACTATAAAGTAAGAATCTGCTCCTAATTAGCATACCAGAGACTTTGGAGCTAAACCAATGGATAAACCACCTCATAGTTCCAGAATTGTCAATGGTGATACATACATAGAACATTATAATAAAGGCTTTGAAAAGTAAATCAATACAGGTTAAGCATTATCTAACCCCCAAATCTGAAATCCTCCCAAATCTGGAATTTTTTTGAGTGCAGATATAACACCACAAGTGGTAAAGCCCACACCTGGCCTCAGGTGATAGGTCATACTCAAAATACAAAGTACACTAAAAAAATTGTATAAAGTTACTTTAGGCCATGTGTATGAGGTATAAATGAAACGCAAATGAATTTTGTGTTAAGACTTGAGTCCTATCCCCAGGATATCTTATTACAAACATGCAAATATTCTAAAACCTAAAAAAAAAAAAATGTAAATCTGAAAAACACCTCTAGTCCCAAGCACTCTCAGATAAGGAAAATGCAACCTGTATCAGAACCACAGCCAAGCAGTCCAACAAGTTTGAACTTGCTGCCTGAAACCTAACTAGATTGACTGTCTGCTAAAATAAAAATAAGAATATTCTTGGGACTAGGAGTATAGCTCAATGTTAGAGCACTTTCCTAGCATGCACAAAATCCTGGATTCAATCTCTATGATGGAACCACACCTTACCACACCAAATCAAAAACCTCCATAGGATTTTAATGAAGACAGAAATTCTTACAATGCAATATCCAAAATCAATTGGCATTTGATGTCATGATTTTTTTTTTTTTTGTACCAGGGATTGAACCCAGAGGCATTTGACCAGTGAGCCACATCACATCCCCAGCCCTTTTAAAAAATATTTTATTTAGAGATAGGGTCTGGCTGAGTTGCTTAGGGCTTCGCTAAGTTGTGAAGGAGGCTGGCTCTGAATTTGCAATCCTCCTGCCTCAGCCTCCCTTGCCGCTGGGATCATAGGCATGCACCATTGTGCCTAGATGATGTCATGAAAATTTTAACTTTCTTGGAGAAAAAAAATCTATATCTACAAACTTCAAAATTTACAGTTATTTGAATTATCTGACAAAGACTTTAAAGCAGTTAAAAAATGCAACAGCTAATAGCCTAGAAACAGAAGAAAAATGGAAAGTCTCAGGAAAGAAAGAGAAAATATAAAAAGAACCAAATGGAAAAATTCAAACTGGTAAGTACAACCACTAAAATGAAAACACACTCAATAGGAGAATGGAGATGACAGAAGAAAGAGTTGGTGAATTTGAAGATAGAAAGAATTGAAACTGAATTTACACCTAGCATCATACTTAATAGTGAGAAACCAGATGCTTTGCCCCCCAGATCTGAAACAAGGCAAGACTGTCCTCTTACCACTCCTATTCAACACCCCTGCATTAAAACTTGAAAAGTAATTTTGTATATTTTGGTTTTTAGCTCCTTCAGAAATAATATAAAAGACCAAAAGTAGAGAAAGAAGGAAAAGGCATTTCCTGAGCATAGGAAAAAGGAAATAACACTCATCACCTACAAAGTGCCAGTAACTGAGTGCTTTAAACATTCAGTAATTACTCAGAAAGGTATGTATGATCACCTGATTTTAAAACTGAGGAAAGAAAATAAGGTTCAAGAATGCTGAATAATTTCCCAATGCCACATATTTAGCTAGTAAGGGAGAAGAAGGATTTAAAATCTTGAATCCAAAGTTTAAGAGTCTTCCCGCTTGACTTTACCTCAATTCAAGAAAACCTTCTCTAGTTACTCACTCCTATTACAAGCAAACCTAAAAAAAAAAACAATAATTTTCTTTTGCTATATTTGTTTCCTACAACTTTGAAAATAAAAGCTATTTCATCTGAAAAATTTTCCCTCTCATAGGGCTAAAACTGAGTAATAAGCAAGCCTTTCTGAAAATACAGTGAAAACTCTAAAATAATTTCATCATTATTCACACTTCAATTTCTCTCAAGTTTCAGAATTTCCACTTTGAAAAGAATTATTAAGATGAGGCTGATTGAGAGGTTTAATGACATTTAAATGGTACTGTCCAAGTTCTCATTATTGAGAAAACTTTAAATACAATTGAAATTGATGGATTTTTGTACTACTCAAGTACAACGATTCTTAGAGATCATTCTAGCTCATATATATGACTTGTAGAGGGTACATTATTCATTTTTTTAAGCTACAGGAAAATATATTCTTGAACTGGATTAATTTATTTTCTGCTTTATCCTTAATTCTATAGTTCTGCATTTTATGTACATCCTTAAAAAACAGATCCTCTTTAAGACTATACTAATTTTCAAATTCTAAATAAGTCAAAATCAAAAATACACAGAAATGAAGTTTAAAATTCCAGTTTAGTGGAAAAATCAGTTGATAGCTTTTATACTGCAAAGCTTAACATCAGAATGTAATATTAGCTTTTAACAAAATCATAGAAATAATTTTTGGGGGGAGTATTGGGGATTGAACCCAGGAGAACTTTACCACTGAGCTATATCCCCAGCCCTATTTATGTACGTATGCATGTATTTATTTTTGGTGCCAGGGATTGAACCCAGGGGTGCTTAACCACTATGCCACCTCTCAGCTCTTTTAAAAATTATTTTTATTATTTTTTATTTTGAGACAGGGTCTAAGTGTTGAGGGCTTTACTAAATTGCAGAGGCTGGCGTCAAACTTGCAATTCTCCTTGTTTAGAGTCACTGAGATTTACAGGCATGTGCCACCATACCCAGCACAGAAATAATTTTTAAAGAACTTCAATTAATGAAAGAAAATGTTTATAGAACAAAGTGCTTGCTTTCTTTAATATTTTCAGCTAACCTAGAGTTAATCTTTTTAGAAACTCTAATTTTTATTTCACAATGTTGAGAAGCAACACTCGGAACTAAAGTTCAAGAGAAAAATTAGAAGATAAGGGTCAGTGTCTAGCTTG